TGCATCAGATGGGAAAATGCTTAGTGCCAGCTCTGTGTATGATGCATTAAGACATATTAGATGGATCTTTTAAATTGTAAGTTTTCAATTTCTTTATTAATAAAAAAATCACTGTCTATAATGCCTGCCCAAGTGATAAGATTAGAAGTATTTTTGATATTTTCCATGCTTGTGTCTAGTGAAAAGTAGAGAAAATAAAGGGAAGATAAACATGTTAAGAAAAAGATTCTAGTATCAGGAGTAAAACATTCAAATATTATGTCTTCATTGTTCTTCCAGACGTTCTCCAAAAAGTAAGAAATTCATCGCAAACTTTCTGTAAAATACATCCATTACATGCTGATACCATGAAGACATTTTTCATTTTGCACATATTTCTTGAATCTTCTAGAATCGTGGGTCTATAAATCTTGCCTTCAAATCCTTCTAAATTTTCCAAGCTGCAATGTCAAAAATACTAAAGAAATATTATTCCAACCAATTCTTCAAATCCTTCTAAATTTTCCAAGCTGCAATGTAAAAAATACTAAAGAAATATTATCCCAACCAATTCTGTAACAGCAAAAAGCCAGAAATATTTTGGAAAAAAAAAAAAGGAGAGAAAAAGTGTAAAATTAATTTTATAGAAAACTGATGCATATTCTGAGAGTTTTGAATATTCTGACACAATTACATAGGAAAAATGCTTACTATGAAAAAATTAAAAAGAAGACTTTATAATTAATTACATAGCTAATTTTGCTTTTGCTAAGAGCTGTTTCGTAAATTATGCTTTACAGCATTATACCTTGTATATATATTTTGTATAATTTGCCAAAATAAAACTTTATAATACGAGAGCAAAAAATAAAAATTTTTTTATTTTAATGTTATTTTTAAAATATAATTCCAATATATTACGATTATTTTAATGAAATTTATCAATAATATGATGTTTTAAAAAAATCGTCGAAAAATTCTCAGATTTCGGAAACAAAAATTTTCTATTGAAACTGATATTAAAATCGCCAAAATGTTGACAAGTTGCCAAATTTAGAGCCGTTTAATAAAAGAATTCACATCCCCAAAAGCGAAAATTTTTTAAGAGCTCTTCATTACGAAAAATGAATTTCGAAATGCTTATGTTACACTTCTTGCTTAGAAACTCGAGTACAAAAATCGCCGCTTCGCAAGCCAAAATAACGAGTCAAAGAATTGCACAAAATCGGTATCCATGTACCGCCAAAAATCGCCAAAGGGTACCCTAAACTATACTTTTACCGGAAAAAGCTGCTAATTTTATTTCTTGAGTAATACGAACATTCAGAAGAAATATGAAATACATATGGTAAGGTCTGGTCACAGAGTTGGTGTGGCATAATTTTTAGAATTTACCGACACACCGAGCAACAAAATCTAGAAATGGCAAAACTTTTAGAATTTAGAGCAGACATTCGAAGCAGAATTTAGGATTCACAGAGACTGCATCAGGTGTCAAAATGCCTAACGTCAGCCCTGTGTATGATGCATTAAGACATATTATATGAATCTTTTGAATTGTCAGTTTTCAATTTCTTTCTATAATGCTTGCCCATATGATAAGATTAGAAGCATTTTTGATATTTTCCATACTTGTGTCCAGTGGAAAGTAGAGAAACAGAAAACTGATGCATATTCTGAGAATTATGAGAAATGGGAAAAACTCTTATCATGAAAAAATTAAAAAGATGTTTCTAATTAATTACATAGCTATTTTGCTTTTGCTAAAAACTGTTTCATAAATTGTGCTTTATAGCATTATTCCATGCTTATTTTTCAGATTCAAAACATTGTACAATATGTGGTCAAAATGAAACTTTATAATATGATAGTGAAAAATAAAAATGCTTTATTTTAATGTTATTTCTTAAATATAATTCCAATACATTACCTTTATTTTAATTAAATTTATCAGTGTTAGAACGTTCGAAAAAGTCACCAAAAATTTCTCAGTTTTCGGAATTAAAAATTTTCCATAGAAACTGATCTTAAAATCAACAAAATGTTGATAAGTCACCAAATTTAGAACCATTTAATAAAAGAATTCACATCACCAAAAGCGGAAAGTTGTTTGAGAGCTCTTCATTAGAAAAAATGAAATAATTTTGAAATACTTGTTTCAATTCTTGCTCACAAACTTGAGTATCCCACCAGTTGTTATATTATAAATAGTAACAAATTATAACCCATGGACCCATTCAAAAAATAACCATATTTGTCAGTGAATTGCCAAAAATATTGCTGCAAAATGCTAATTCATACTCAAAATGGCAGTTGTAAAAACAGACAGAAATTTCAGATTATTAAAATTAAGGACCTTCTGCTGATTTTGGACGAAATTAAGGACAAAAAGACTTAAGGACTCTTAAGGACCGTATGAACCCTGAACCAAACGAAAAAATCCCACATTTCAAAATAGTTAGCCAATTTTTTAAACTATGTAAGATTACAGAGGAAAAATAAATAAATTAATTAAAATGTAGAAATAGATATAGAACTTATAAGAAATGAAGCGAGAACACTGTAATCAAAGTACAAATTTTGAATCAGTGAAGAGAACAGTTAGATTCAAAATACATGCGAAAGTTTGCCAGTTTGGCTTCATTGGCAAAACAAATTGGCAAAGTCAAGTTAGAAATTCCTAAAAGATGAATTTAACACTTGAAAGAATTTTTTTTTTAATTTATATAAAGTTTAGAAGAAAGGAAGAAAAGATACAAATGTACAAAAAGTTAAAAAGTCTTCATGTCATGAGCTTCTCATGATGACAGGCGTATAGTACGCCCAAAGTTAGTAACAGCTAAGCCCCCCCCCAAAAAAAAAGATTTTACAATAGAAAAAAATACATAAAAACTATAAAACCATCTAAAACATCCTTCTTTATCCTTCTCATTCCGAGCTTTCTGGTAAAAAAATTCATACTTTTAAAACATTTCATACGGTGAATACTACTCTATTTTTTTAGATGACTGTTAACGAAGTTAATAGGAATTTAATTTTCTTTTAAAATATTGGTGAGAATTACAATTTCTTCTTCTTGTTGTTCTATTTCAGCACAAACGTTTTTAATTCTGTTAATTTGGTTAATAACTGCATTTGCTATAATTTTTCTAGAGATGCTGGAGTACCATTTATAAGTTTTAATGCAGAAAAATTAAATTCTCTTCTTTTATCAAAAAGCTTTATTTCTTTAAGGTTATGAATACTAAGATGAATATAGTCTATTACTAATTGTTCTTATTAAGTTTTAGACAACTGGGTAGATGTTGCTATTTTCGATGAGATTATTATTGTTGAATGTGATAATGTCATTAATATACCTGAAAGTATATTCAGAATTATTGAAATCATTATCAGAAAGGTTTTTAAGAAGTTTAAATTCTTTAAAAAATAAATATACAAGGTATAATATATATATAATTAATATAATATCTAAGGCTACATAAATGAGTTGAATATGAATTTTCCCATTGGAATCCCATTTGTTTGTAGGTACATAAATTTTGAATGCTTTATGTAATTATTATAAAGTGAGAAATAGAGAAATTCTTTCTACATTTGCCAGTATCCAGAATAGTAAGCATTTCAGAAAAAAAATTTGGCAGTTCCAGAAGATTCTTTGAGTGGGAGAGACATGTAAAGATTTTCAAAGTTATAGCAGTCAATAACTGTAAATAGATTTTTTTAATTTTTCAATAATTAACAAGTTGTTGTAAATAACCAACAGTAGATTTTATCCATTTTAAGCTCTATCAAAGATTAAATTACATATTGATTTAAGTGGATTAATAAAAATATTATCAAAATTCTTCTTGATGTTTCTAGTACTATTTGCAATGAATCTAAATTTGAGATGATTTTTATGAAATTTTGGTAAAGCATATCGATTGGAAAATCTACTATTTGTAGTGAAAAGGGAAATTTTCCATTTTTTGTGAAAAGCATAAATTGCTGATTACTGTCTTTCTTTATTTATTTAAATACAATAGGTAGTAGGATTTTGCAGTTCATTCTTAATTACAGAATTATAGAACTTTTTCATAAAATAATGAAATTGTTGCTTGCTTTATCAATTTTGCTTTTTCAACTGTGAAATTTTCTGAAGTAAATTCCTTCCAGTTTTTGATTCCTTTAAATCCTTTAAGGTAATTAATTTTCCTTTCGCTTTTATTAATAATTTCATTTTTGCATTCCTTAAATGGATGAGAAGGTAAACTTAGTTTAGAGCTTGCTTTTATTATAAAATTATCGATATCTGCAGAAATACTTTCGATGCAAATGAATTTAAGAATGTATTTAATTGGTCAAATTTTAGTTCCCTTTTTAGTAGCTGTTTCAATTCCTGATCATGAACAATGTCAAGATTTCCTGTAATAATATGCTTGTGTTGTTCATCCACAGTACATACTTTGAAGCTGCCAATTGCAATGAAAAAAGAGGAGGTGAACAACTAGATATTATAGCAGTATACAAAATTTTAACATTCTATGGCTACTTGTTTTTGAGTTCTGCAAGATGTTATGAAAACATTAATTCTCTTCTGAATCCATTTTGGAAAAAGAGTCCTTTATTTGTAGGTGTCAAGCAAAAACATTATTCAAATGGATTCGAGAGCGGTCAAAATGGATATTTTAATTGAAATATGATACCTGAAATTTTTTGTAATTACAATGCTCTCTTATATTTCACAAGGAAGTAATCAAAATGGAGAAATACAGTTTCAATAAAATATTTATTTTCAGTAATATATGATCAAGTTAATTTTTTTTTATTACTGCCTTATTCTCCTTTTAATTTTACAAATATTTAAGATTTCTTCATTTAAATAATTTGTTTACATAATACATCTTAATACAAAAAAAAAATTATTATTTATTGTGAGTTGATAACTGTATTTTAATAATTTATAATTCCAACATAAAATTTTGCATGTATTTTAAATTTAAATTACAAATAAATCATCATAACAGAAAAGAACTCACCCGTTCCATGACAAACACATAAAATGCCATTATTGTGAGAAACATAAAATATGGTGGCATAGTCTCACCATCTTTCTGCAAAAAGATATGCAAATGTTATAATGTTTTCAAAATTCTAAATTTGGAAAATAAACAACAATTTCACAAGTTAAAATCAAATAGAAAACCACAAAAAATTGTTTATACCAGCAAGCCACTTTCTTCTTATTGCAGGTTTTTAGATTAATGGAAACTCAGAATTTAATTATGTAGATTATGTTGAATTCTGAAATGCCAGGCACAATATTAAGGATATAAATTCTAAATTTTGACTTGATGTCCATATTTTGTAGAAAATTCTGTATGTGCTCTACAGATTTTTAATTTCTGCTTTCTTTATTTACAAATCCATGTAATGGACAGGGTGATGCAAGAGACATGCACATCAAACTTTCAAAAACAGTAGAAATTCCAAAATGAAGTTTGATGGCAAATTGTTTCCATAAATAAAACCCCTATAATGTTACAAGTAATATAATTCTTAAAATTTCTTGCTAGCTTTAAAAACCATTTGTTTGGTGCAAGATAGAGAGGAATTTGTTAGTACACAGAATGAAATTTTATGATTGAGTATTTCATTGCAATAGAAAATTTGACTATGATGCCAGCTTTCTTACATTTCTTTGTTGTTAATTACACCACTTTTTTCCCTGACTTTTTTTTTTTTTTTTTTTTTTGTCCAAATTTAAAAGAGACAGACAGCCATTTTATTTTTTATGGTGAATACTTACAGTTTCTTGAAATCAAGTTACCAAGTAGAAAACCATCCTTTTGTTAGGTTCGTAAACATGAAAGGTCTCTTTAGACACTGCAGTAACTTTTCTCTAAGAGTAGATTGCAAGGTAATGGTTAGTCATAAAACATTCTGAATGGAAAAAAACTCAATTCATTTTGCACCAAACAAATTTTAAAGCTAACAACATAAACTAAAACTAAAATTTCAGGGGACATATTACTTGTAACAATATACAAATGCTATCCACAGAACAAGTTGCCGTTAATTACAATCCATACCACAATTTACAATATCATTTTCGTAATTCCCACAATTTTTTAGTTTCATATGTGCACCTTTTGGATAACCCTGCATATACAGGGAGTTTCAGCAATTCAGTTGCAAACTTTCAGGAGATATAGAGTACACCTAGACTATGGAAAATTACATAGCAATGCATAGTTAGAAATGCTTTCCTGGTGCGGTGGTAATGACACAAAATACAAGAAATGAAGGACATGAACAGGGTGAGAAGACTTTTTTATTATGCTCAGTACAGCAAAAACCAAGAAATGAAAACAAAAACCAATGGCTGCCATTAAAGAAATAATTAAATTTTTATGACATCACAATTATGACCCCAGACTGTGATGCAGGTTTCATATGATGTTCTGGAAAATACCTGGCATGTCCCGGACTTTTCCAGCAGCTGCCATGATGCATGCAACAGTTCCTGAGCATTGTTAACAAGGGTTTCATACTGTTAACAGTGTCCTGACATATCCTCACTTGCTGGCCAATGCACCGAACCACCCCCACCAATCCAATGTTAAGGATAGCTTGCATTCGGATGGAGAGGCACATCAAAGCTGTTAACATATTAAAAATTTAACATTCCCAACATTTTAGCTGCACTGAGCATAGCAAGCATGTTTTCTCACCCTGTTCATGCCCATCCTTTCTTGTGTTTTGTGTCGTCACTATTGTACCAGGAAAGCGTTTTCAACCATACACTGCTATGCGATTTACCATCATTAGCATCATTTCCTGAAATTTTGTAACCAAACTGCTGAAACAACCTCTATATGCACACACACTCACATACCATATCAGTAGAAACTCTTATGGGGTCTTAAGCAGGAATGGATAAACAAGAGAAAAACTGAAAAAGTTTCAACATAAGAATGCTGAAATATTTCACCATTCAAAGAAGAATATCTGCCAAGATCTAGATCAGGGGTCAGCAACCTTTGAGCTGTGATGTGCGAAACCAATATATGAACATGATTCAAGATGCCGCTCAGTAGGGAATATCAGGGGTCAGCAACCTTTGAGCTGTGATGTGCGAAACCAATATATGAACATGATTCAAGATGCCGCTCAGTAGGGAATATCTGAAACAATTCAATTCCTGCGCCAATGCATGCAGAGTTAGGTTGTATTATATATTAATTATGCATCATTTAAAGATATTTATTAACATAAAAATTAAAACTGTACATACATTATATATCTTTTAAATATATTTTTTAAAATAAAAAGAAGACATAAAATAAAATATAATATTCAAAAGTGGAAAGCAGAGCACATGAAATTTTCTTCAAACAATTAAATCTCTCCAGTACTGACTTGGATTGGATTGGATAATTCAATTATGGCAAAGCACACAAGGGCTATCTGCCTGAAGGGAAGACTTTCTAAGGGAAACTGGCTCGGCTCGTATACACGTTACACATGGGGAAAACCATAAAAACGCCCATACATACAGCTCGTTTGCGGGATTCGAACCTCGGACCGAACTACCAGTGTTCAGCGTCTTTACCACTTGGTCACTGGTGGGCCTCCAGTACTGATATCCAGCAATTTAAAATAGCTCTTGATTTATTGTTACAGTTATCTTTTAGATTTTTTTTGGCAATTCCATAAATTTTGCTTTCCATAATTTTGAAAATGTTAGTTCAATAAGTTCCATTTCAAAATTATTATTTTCCATCCACTCAAAAATTGACAAATTGGATGGGATTATTAATGGGTCTATTAAATTTGGTTTGGTTAGTGATAATATTTGTTTATAAAGTATAATTTTAAGTTTTAATATTTTTGGCAACATTGATATTAAATTGTAAAAGAATGAGTTAAAAATGTATCTGGCATCAAGAGATTATCATATGTTATGGTTTTGTAGAATGCGGTAAGGTATCTTATGACTAATTTTATTTAATAAAGTTTTCTTTTTATGTAGTATTATAATGTGTTTCTATTAGAAGTAGATAATTCCACAGATAATATCATTATGGCAATTCCAAACCAACAGTTGAAAGGAAAATATAGGTATATTAACTTCAAAGTCTTTGCATCTTTTGGAAAATCCCTCCTAAGTGCTTCAATATAGGTTTGAAGTTCATCTTTGTCTAAGGTTGATGCATTTGCAAGCACTTTACATTTGGGAAGCACTTATAGGTACTAGTATTATTATCACGGGGAAATATATTTAATTTTGTAGCAAAATATTTCCATATTCTAAAAGTTCAAGCACTGTTTGGCCCTTTGCTTACAATCCTTAGTTCATTGAGATGTTTAGTTATATCAATCAGAAATATCAATTTGCATAACCATTCCTTTTCAATTCGGGGAAATGATGATTCTTCTCATTAAGAAAAACTTTAATATGTTCCATGCATGACACAAACTTATTCATTACCTTAACTAAGCCAATGGACAATACTATATAAGGAGAGATCAACATATTAGCTTTCCATTTCTTCTGAAAGAGATTTAAATTGCCTGTGTAACCAGTGAAGAACGAGACACTATGAAATTAAATATTTTAACAACAGTGTTCATTACAGAAATTAAGTGCTGTGAAATTTTGGAAACTAAACTTTCCTGGTGGCACAGAGAGGACAGTGTAATTTGTCTTTGCCTGATAACTTTGAAGAGTGCTACTCAGAATTGTTTCTCCAAATCTGGTTCACATGCCATAAGTTGCCAACGTCTGATCTAGATAAATGCATCAGACAAAGGATAATGAATTTGCTAGATGCTTTGGAAAGACTGCTTGTCTGTGTTCAAATGGATGATTAAATAGGTTTAAGAAGCATAACAATATTTTGTACTAAAGTATTATGCAGGGTTTTAAAATCCATTGTTGAATAGAAAAAAAGAAAAGAAAAAAGAAGAAAGTTTGGGATGATAGCTCTCACAATCATCAAGAAAAAGACATTTTTCGATTAGAATACAAATTTGTTTATAAACTATATGCTTATTTTTGGTTCCAGTATGGCAGGAAAATGAAATAGTTAAGTGGTTAAAAAAACTAAGATTGTTTTCGTGCACGAATACAACTTCGATGCTGCTACCTAGGAAGCAAGGCTTGATGTGCCATTACAGACAGCTGCACCTTTTTAAGAAGTTTAGAGAAGTACAATAATAATCGATTATTATATTATTTCACTTCTTCATGGAATGTTTGCACTAGAAAAGCCATGATAATTTATGATTTATTCAAATCTGCATCACACCAGCAGAAAATTACAGATTTTTTTTTTTTTTTTTAACTTAGAATTCAAGTAAAAGTTAAAGGTCAATGCATCAATATTTTTTATTATTCATTTTTAATGTTTTTACAGTTTTATGAATAAAATAAATATTCATGCCTGAATGTGCAATTAGAGGGATAGATTCGAATCAAATTTCTGCTAAGTAATTTATTGAATGAAATTATTAATCAATCAAAGAATGAACAAGAAATTTAATAATTGTCATTAAATCTTAATACGAATTTTTTAAAATTATATTTATTTTTTACTTCTTTTGGTAGGACTGACAGTTTTCTTTATTTATTTATTTATTTATGTATTTCTTTCTTTCTTTCTTTATTTTTTTTTGTGCGATTTACCAAAAATTTTGACATATCTGTGAGAGAAAATTCATTTTTCTGACCGAATCAGATAAAGCAAACCAAACTTTCAGTATCTTGAAGTTCATTACAGCAAGATTTGATAGTACTACATGAAGAATAATTTACTAACTCAATTTCTTCTTTATATGGATCATATAGAAAGTTAAATATCATATATAAATTAATCAGTTTTCCAAGATTACCATATTTTGCTTGCCAACTGATTTCACTTTTAAACATAAAATGTTTGTTGGCCAAAACAACAAAGCTAAATCTAAGGTTAATTTTAATGAAAATGTTGAAATCAGAAATTGCAATTATTTACAGCTGGGTAAAATAACAAAAATGCTTTACAAACTGAATTAAAATTATATTTATTTTCACTTCTTTAAGAAGTGAATTCTTCTTAATTAACAAACTGTTAAAGGCAGAAGTTGAGTAAAATGAAGGAGAAAAAAATCTTACCAGACTGGATTCAACAGCTCTATAAACTTTCCAGAAATATTTAGTAAATGCATCTTTGTCCATAGGTATACCATTGATACGTATTCTTTCATTGACTGATATAAGATGTGGGGAGCTATAAAATATAATGATGGTAAGTAACTTGATGCTAAAAAATTCAGCTACATTTATTAAATTAAACCAGTGATCTTTAAACTTTGTCGACTAGAAAAACATCCGAAACTTTCTCTCTCTCCTCTCTCTATATATATAATTATGTGCATGAAACCTACATAATCTTTAGTATAATAAATATTACAAAAATACTAAAAATATATTGATGCACTTCAGTGGAAAACAAACAAAAAAAAAAAAAAAAAAAAAAAAAAACATTTCATTATAACTCTGCCCATATAAACTTATTTATTTCATTTCATTCATGAATTTTTGTTAAAATTTTTCCTCGTCAACATTTTTTTAGCGCATTTAACTTCATCATCGCCAAGCGTAATGTCAACATAAAAGGTTATCATACTCCTTTATTATTCCATTACTAACATAAAAAAAAATTTTAGGCATTGCTACATGAGTCATTACTCAAGTTGTCATGTTTTGATAAACAAGCGGTGATGAAAGGAAAGTAGAATAAATAATGATTCGCCAGTTTGGCATCAGATCAACAATGTATCTACGTGGACTATTTCGGGTTGAGATGTGTGCCAAGCAGATATGCAGCAATGGAGCCAAATTACTGATCGTATAAATTTATGCTAAAATTATTTGTTTCTTTAATGGCAAGGTATTTTATTTAGAGTTGAATTGAAATTAAGAATTGGGACTGTCTAGATGTCTTATTATGTGCAGAAGGGGGAATCAAAGGCGCATGTGTAAAGCCTACGAGAAAAAACGTTGGTGGTTTCGAGGTCCAGATTTTAGATCATTCTGGATATTGGACGTCTGAATTTCAGTCTTTGTACTGTATTAAAAAAATTATTTCAAATTTGATTTTGATGGGTGTAACTCATTGAGGAATTGCATAGAATCCCAAAGTTCTATGGAACACATGTAAATGCCACAGAGTGAACTCCCCCCCCCAGAAAATATTAGTATATGTCACATAAGAAATGTTGATAATTGATATCAAAGGGGTGTATACACAGATTTTTTTCCAAACACTGCACATACATCTAAACAGCATGACTTTTAATAGGAAGCAACTTGACTGACATATCTTTTTCACTTGATATTTTATGCAAGGTATGCTATGTGGATATCTAAAATTTTTGTATAGAAAATAAAAGAAAGGGTAACTTTTTTTATATGAAATAAATCAATTATAATACAGAATAATTTACTGCAACTGCTTAGGATTAGAAAATAGAACATAATACTAAGAAAAGGTGGAAATAAAGTAAATAAAATTATTTCTCTTCTCAAGTGTTTTTCTTCAGCATTTCATATTAGTATTGCGATTGGAAATAAAATTTCTGTTAATTCCATGAAAAGCTGTGATTTTTATTTAACTTATGTTTTGAAGGCTACTGTATACATCTTTCTTGAATAGCACTGTCTTTCATGCTTTGAAGATTTCTGTACTGGTGGTATTAAAAGCAATTTAGAATACATTTTAAGAAAAGTGATAAAAATATTATTATATTCTGCAGATGAATTCTTATTTCCTTAGTGCTCATTTTAAACTTTTTTCTGCACATACTCAGAAAATGAATGTTTTAATACCCACCTTTGCAGAATAATTCTTTATAATTAAAATGGAATAAAATATGTAGATATTTAGATAAAATTTGAAACAAATTTTCCTTTCAACTTTCAATATATTTTTTTAATAAAATATTAAAAAAAAAAAATTATACCTGTAAAAACCAGTTTTATAGCCATGACTTCGCAAAATAGATTCAGTGAAAGCACATGTGGACCCTTTGCCTTTTGTTCCAGCTACATGAATAATATTTAGAGCATCCAAATCTTCTATCTGAAATTATTACATGCATAATATTTAGTTAAATTTTTTTCTATAAGCAGCAAAAAGAAAACAAAAAGGAAAAAAAAATCAATAAAAAAAGAAAAGAAAAATTTTTTAAATCTGAAAGATTTCAGATTTTAAATTACGTCCAAAGGGGCACTTTTTTAACGTTTTGTGTGTTACCTTTACTCATTAAATATTGCGTTTTTTTGCACTTAAACCATAAAATTCAGTTTAACAGCAATGTCGCAAAATAATTTTAAAATGAGCATATCTTTAAAATTTCCTATACACAGTTCCGCGTGCTGAAGATAAAAAGGTCCCCCCCCCCCGTAAAGTGTTGCCATTGTTCGCTTTTAAATCGTTCAGTTTGTTAATCAAAAATTGGTTAAAGTTTTACAAAATATGAAATCGATAATAAACAAATTCCAAGGTTCAAATTTGGGCTTTCAGATGCCCGTATTCGCAGTAGGATTACGTTCAAAATTGACTGGATCTAGGTACCATTGTTTAATCACAATGCGAGAAACATACATACGTTTATGCAGATTCTTTATTATTTAATTTCTTTAAATATAATGCAGGGCTCTAGTATTTGGTGGCAATAATTTGAAAAGGTGATACACCATTTAAAGTGATTTGATGAAAAATGCCAAAACGAAAACAAGTCCTTCAGGGACAAATCCCCTTTTTGGACTTAAAAACTTAATAAGTTTTACTTGGAATGAAAATAAAAGTTCCTTCTGCAAGCAAATGAATGTTGCATTGCAACTGGATGTTGTATTACAAAAGAAAACATAACCTTTCTGGAAAATTTCTCAGTTTTATGATCCATATAATACTGGAAACCTTCTCCAGAAAAAAATTGTTTGTTCTTTAAATTGGCATAGTAAAGTTACATAATTTTAGCAGAATATTTTTTTTATTACCATTAAATTAAAATTTTACTTCTGATTTTCTTACGTTCTCTTCTAAATAGCTTGCCATCTTTAAGGTAATATGAAAAGCATCATAAAAGTACCCACATCATTTTAATGAAGAAATTTAACAGCAGTTAACTTTCTATATGAAATAATTTATTGAAATCACATGCAAGCTATGGCTGCTACCTTATTTTCTTAATAAGATCTGAAACATACATAGCCTTTATTGCCCAATATTCAGTTTCAGTTTTGCAATATTCAATGTGTAACTTTTCTGAGATTTTAGCCAAATAATGCCATAGCTGCAAAATAATACCTCAGCTCACTATATTGATAGGGTTGAGTAGTAAGACTGAAACATGTCATGAATTATAAATATCAACAGGATATCATAAATAAAATATTAATCAAGTAATCAAGACTTGAAAACTAATTTTAAAGATGACTGCCACCCTATCCAACCCCCAAAAAAAACTGTTACACCAGTGTTCTTAATTGAAAAAAAAAAAAAAAAAAAAAAAAAAAAAAAAAAAAAAAAAAAGGATGCATTTCTTTTAGAGATCACTTCCCTCCCTGCCCCCTCAAAAAAACTTTCTTAATACATAAAAATTAATATTTATATCTACTTTCATTGTCATTTTAAAAAATATTTTTAAAAAAAATTTTGATATTTCTTAAAACCCTAGTTCTGGTAAAGAAATTTATATTTTATGTTTCTCTACACATAAAATATAAAACTAATCAGCAAAAAGCACAAAAATTTATGCTCTTATACACCCCCAATTGAATTTAAAGTCTAATGATACTATATTTGAAATAAATTAGTCACAAATGTGGAGATAATAGTTTCATGGAATCCAAGGCTGACTTTCTTCTAGTTATGCTTTCAAAATTACCATTTCACTTTTGCATGCAAAATGGCTGATGTCAAACTTATCTCATATGTAGATTTCAAGTTATCGGTTACATTAGAAAGAGAAGATGAAAAATCTGTAGTTGAGTGGCATATGAAGAACGATTTCAGAATGTATTATCATATGCCTACGAGAACAATGCTAAAATAAGTATGCAAAAAAGGTTTTTGTTTTCCAGAAGGACATATTCTGGGATGCCTAATCCTAAAAATAATTTATTTATAGATTCAGAAATGCATGAATTAATTCCTTATGAATGAATTACATGTTAAATGACCACACAATGATGGAAATTTTTTTTTTTTTTTTTTTTTGTATGAATGACAAAATATGCTACTGGGTTTTAATGGTTCTGTTGTATGCCTGCAAGCATGATGTGAAACTAATATGCAGAAAGTCTTTGTTTATCAGAAGGACATGCCTTTAAGTCTAATTATTCAAACAATTCATTTGAAGTTTAGAAATGAATTAATAAATTTATTATGCATTATCTGCATATTAGGTGACCATACAATGGTTGACTGAAATATGTTTTTCAGAAAAATATGTGTGGAGTTATATTTTATGAGGTGTGGCAAATAAATAACGAGACTGGCTTCAGTTCTTGAGCTTGCAGATCGACCAGGATGTTCCACAATTTCAACCTCTTCTTGACCTTCTGAAAATCATTTGTCCCATTCAAAAACTCATGCATGTGACAAAGCATTATCATAAAAGATCTCTTTTAACACATGAAAACATTCTATTAGCAATTTTTTTAATTTCACAAGGAATTTAAGGTTAATGCACTGCTTGATTTTTAAGTTCACTATGATTACTACAGAACAACATCTTCTACAACCAAGGCCAAAAGCAAACTAAAGCAGACAGAAAGAAGAAACTAACAGTGGATTCATCCTTTCTCCATGCGGCTGGGCTGCATGATAGGATGTGTGCAGTGCTGTTATATAACTGCCTCAACTTGCAATGCGAATGGCATGCATCACAACTTGGAACCAAGATAATACATCCATGATGTGATTTAATTTTAATTTTAATTTATTTTTATTACTTTAATTACATCAGTTTGAACCATGATACTTAGTTTTATACCTACCACATTATTTTCCCTCCAAAAAACCTGATTTTCCCATTTACTAAAAAAGAACATTATACCATAGAATACATCATACTGCTACCATTATTTAGCAATCATTGCATACAGTTGGCAGTAGTCATTTCATTGGATGGTATATTTAAGTTAGGAGCATTTATTTCAATAAATTTGTTTTATTATGCAATGAAAATACTTTATTGTATAATAACATTGCATACAATTTTGGTTCAACATTTTTTGGTTATCTTTCATGTGATTAAATAATATTAGGGCTATCACACATTAGTATTTAGAACACAAATATCAGGATTTTTAGCTAATGATATAAATGTGGCTTTTGTGATGGAAAATGTTTCAAAATGAATTAAACAGTGACACTTTCATTTCTATACCTTTAGATATCTTCAACAAAAAAGATATGTTATCACATGAGACTATTACATTTCTATAAGTTTGCTGCACACTCCGCAAAAGATTCTTTTCATTTGCTTAAAATTTTAAAATTTACTCTTTTTTTTTACAATTCATATCCAAAACTAACTGAAAACTCTTTAAAAAATATTAATAAATTCAGTATATTATAAGCCTTATCTGCTTAATGCAGCTACCAAGTTCTAAAAAAATATATCAACTTAAAAAAAGATTTAACTTCAGCTGTAGCTTTAAAGCATAAGAAATTAAATAATTTTATGAACAAATAAAAAAATTACAACTTTTTTCAAAAAATTAATTTGTCCAAAAAATATGAATCTCGTACTTAAATAAAATAAATATTTATTTGACTGTAAACTCAAATTTCTGAATATTTTTTCTCAGAAACACAGGAAACTTCATCAGTGTTTGTTATTTTTCTGTTTGTCAGCTTCGTATCTTTTTTCTAGATGCGAAGCTGACAAACTGAAAAATATGCCATTTGTGAGAAATATTTATTGCAAGCTCAAAGTGCAGGTAATCGGGTGAAATTAATGTACAGCTATTTACAATTAAGCTTTTTTTCTTTATTTAATAATAAATGCACATATCACCATAACACATTAAGATGAAACAATATAATAGTAATTTTTTTCTTCCTCCATTTGGTTTGGCAGTTTTAAACAACTTCTTTTAAATATAAGATTTTATGTGGACTAATTATTAAATTAAAAGGTATGCCATAACTGCTTGGTTT